TCTTGCATGCTATAGTGTACATTTAGGCATCATACATGGCATAACCTAATACATGTGCATTTCATTATAGAATCTGAAATATGCAATGTTTATGTTAGTTCATATGTTGCACATGATGTTTAAATGCCCCTTAAATCTGGCTAGTCAATTGATGGTCTTTAAGCCTCCTTCTATGCTTCTTTTCTTGATATGTAATTCAGTGTTGTGCAAGATTTTCTTACACATATGTTCAATTGCTTGTTTGTATCAGCCAACCATACTAGGACTGTTTGCTTTGATTACTTATTATTCTTGACCTAACAGAGCTTGTCAATGATTTAAACACTAAGGGCTACTATAGTGGGGGCTTGTATAACCATAGGTGACATAAAGGTTTGGGTGTACACTAAAATAGGCTCTCCAAGAGTACCTGGAGATCCAGTTCGAATGTATGCCTAGTTTTTACACAGTGCACACATAGTAAATGCTCATTTCATTGTGTGCAAGAGATGTGGCATGTTTCATTATGTGGTGTTGTTTTGTTATAAACTCATCCTTTTGTGTTGTTCACAAACTGGAAAGTATGCATATTTATCTTCCAAGGAGACTAATAACTAGTTTGTGTCACCTTGCAGAGGGGGTGCAATGAAGATAAGTTGAGGATTTCCAAGTACAAGATGTTAGGAAGGAGCCTTGCAAGAGAAGGAGGAGCAGCGTTGAGCCTGTTCAACCAGTTATGGTAAGTCACTGCATTACAATTACCAGGACATCCTATTTGTCTGACATTGTGCTTGCGTAGGGTTCTTCACCTGTAACCAATCATTTGGCCATTGATTAAAAACCCCTCCGCTCACTTCTATATGATGTTCTAACTGTTTTGTAAATCAGATGTATGTAAACACATTTTAATGTGTTTGTTCACTCATTACGAATGTAGTCTACTTTTAAATATCTAAAACATCTTATAGTAGTGAACAGTGTGAAACTGCTTCCTGCTATGGTAGAGTTGTCGATGTCATAAATGTCATAACCAAACACATATTCACATCATTAGCCTCTCTATCATTACTAGGATCTTGATTACATACTTTTATAAAAAAAACAGAGTTGGTGATGATGGTGTGTCTGTCATCCTGCAATATAGGTCGTCCGATTTATATCTGACGGATAGGAAGGAAACTATGGCAATTTCGCAAAAAGATACACACACTCCTCTCCACATTTGCAAATAAGGCCTTCCCATGTTCATCATTTTCTCTCACAAGATAAACTACTCATAAAAATGCATCTTGATTGTGTGTGGTCTAAATTTGTAACCTGTCTGTGTTTTGGATTTGGCCCCAACATCATGCTCCTCTGGTGAGCTAAGAGAGATTTATGTATGCGGCTGCACAGACTACCATTTTTATAATTTTTAAAATACCACCTGCTTATGCTTCATGACGTGTAACATTATTGTTAGTCCTGTTTTGCCATGTACAAAATAGTCTGTCTTGCTCGCTTCACTGTTGTAACTATATTTTTGCTCTAGTCATGTGTATTTACAAAAATATTTCAGGATGAACTAACATCAACACAAAGATCTAAAAGCAGTGTGGCATGGCCGTTAACAAATGATTATGGATTGCAATTGGAATGTGTTGATGTTCTCGAGCATCAACTAGAGGTAGCAATACAACGTGTACATGATTCTCAACATGCAGTCAACATATTGAGACTGGACTTGCACGTATTAGATGCAGGAGTCAAAAAAATGAAACAAGACATTGAGGTAACCACAAAGGAATTGCAGATTTTGCAGACTAAAATTTATGCTATCTGAATCCGGCCAATCCTATTTTCTGAAGAGATTATAGTTCAGATGGTATGTTCTGTTGATGCGTGTCCATGATGTATTTGCCCAGTCTATGTAATTGTTGTTTGTGTACGATTTATTATTACTGATGCCGAACGCCGAACTATAATGCCCAATGGGTATAATCTGCTATAATTTCTTTATTGTATAGTATAGGATTATTCTTCGTTTCTATGCCTTAGTCTCTTTATTGTATAGTGCGGGTTTTTTAGAGGCAATAGTATAGATAGGATAATTCTTTGTATATGGTATATCGTTGAAACAGGGGCCAACACGCCCAAACATTACCTAGACGCCATCCGAACGAACAAACATGTAAGTCAAAGCGGGCCTTAATTGGGCCGAGCAACTTAATGTTTAGTGGATCCCAAACGATGTGGCCCATCGTAACAATGGCTCTTAGCAGGCCGTTAACAGGCCGAAAGCTCGATAGGGTTGTATAAATGGAAATGGCCCGCGGGCCCTAGCAGGCCAAAATAAATGTCAATTTTGTCTCGGCCCTTTTACTTGACGGGCTAGTAAGAGGCCGAAAGTGTTTTGGGCCAGAAGAGGCGCAATTTGCAAACTAGGCTTTTAACAGGCCAAAAAGTCGCGTCGGGCTGAAATTGTGCCCTGCGGAACGTGGGCTGCTAATGGACCCAAAATCAGGTTGCACCGTCAAAGGCCCAACTATTGTGCGGGCCGTTAACAGGCCGAAAGACAAAATGGACTAGGAATTGACCCATTTACCTAATGGGCCGAGGAAAGGCTGAAAGTCACAATGGGCTAGAAGTTAGCCCAACCGCAGAATGGGCCGAGAAAAGGCTGAAAGACATATTGGGCCGTTAACGGGCCGGAACTGACGATGGGCTGCTAACAGACCGAAAGAAGGTCGGGTCGTAATTGGGCCCAAAGACGTAGCGGGCCGTTAACGGGTTGAAACTGACGATGAGCTGAAAATTGTCAAATCTAGAATGAGCCTTTATGGACCAATTATGTGTAACTTGTATGAGTCGTGCTTGTGAATGGGCATGACTCAAGTAGGCCACTAATGGGTCGGCCCGCTTATTTTGACAGGCCCGGCCATTTAACCTAAATGGGCCACTGTTGGGACGAGGCACGTGTCGACGTACCATAGGCTCGTCCCGTCCACTCGCTTGATGACACTTGTCCCAACCCGGAGCTGACACGTGGATACTAAGGCAAATCAGAATTTTACACGTGGAAAATCTTCATTGGTCGAGGCGGTTAACGGGTTATCGGATCCAAACTGAAACCCGATAGCTTAACGGCGACCTGTTACGGTGGATGCCACGTGTCAGTTATCCTTGACGAAAGCACTTCCATGACGCGTTATTTATCGTCATGGAAGTGGACACTTCCGTGATGATAATTTTGGTATTGTCATGGAACACTTCTACGACAGCACAGGTATGACTATCTTGATTCTGTCATAAAATCGTCATGGACGTACATGCATGACAGAAAACGTGACCTACTGTGACAAACATGTATCATCACGAAAGTGTATTTTTTTTAGTGCTCGGTGAGCATAACCCCCTCCCCTTTGATTCTTTTAGTTTTCCAGATTTAATGATTGAGAATGAGCACCTAGGTGTGCCAGTATTGTATACGAGGACTTCATGGAGAAACCCATATTTTGATATAGATATCAACTAAATATATTTCTTGTCACAACTAAATGTGTTTGACCTACTCATGTAAAAAGGTCATACGCGTTAAGCAGATTCTGCCCCAACGATTTCCCTGAAGGACAAATTAAAGGAGCAGTGCCCATGACATGTGTCACAATGTCATTTTTTTCCTCTCCAGCGTAAAGTAAAGCATGCATATTGTTTGGAGAGTGGAGTATCTCCCAACCAATCAAGTCTTTCAAAGACCGAAATTGGAATCCATCCCAGATATGAAATGAGTCTTTTATGAGTGGGAAATAAGCCATTTCAGTATACCGTAGATTCAATTGTGCACAAGCATGGTCTAAAAGTGACTATCTACTGAGTTGTCCTTGCCTTGACTTGTGATACAAGTACTTCTAGTTTGCGAAACACTTTTTCTTGTGTAACTGGAAAGCATATATGTACCGCTCTATTATATATAAATAAGTAAATAAGGTCTAATTAGAATTTTGACAACCCTTTGAGAAGGCGTTCAAGGGGTTCTCAAATGTAACATAAAAGTAAAATATTCAGTTCATGAAGGTTTTATTGTATGTAATTATTTAGGTGTTGATGCAAAACAACCAAGCAAAACAATGTGTATATCTAAAGGCCTGTTATTTTATTGTTTTTTTCTTATTTATCAAAAACAGGCCTGTTTTTATTGGGGGTCTTTTCTTCTGCTCCCTGGTATTTCGCGAAAAAACGCACTCAATCCGAACAAAGCCTAACGGTCAAATCAAGGAGAATTATGCTCCCGGTGATCGGAAGGATGCTTCTCGAGACCTGGCAAAGAGAAGGTTTACAAGGCTGCGGCCATAAATTTTTTGAATGATCTTTCTTTGAGTACTGATTTTTTAATGATCTTCTTTTTCTTTTTGGGTTATCTACACAAGGATGCTTTTGTGCATGGAGCCTTTCTTATTTAACTAATCGGTGTTTGGTTATATTAGCAACAGACATCTTGAACTTAAGTAGTCCACTACTATTGCAAAAGCACTCCTCACACTTCCAAACTGGTCCCGGAAGTACTGAGCTTTCATTCCAGGGAGTCTCTGCCGCAGTCCATCATTGGAGCGTGCATGCACAAATACTATTCAGACATGTTCATAAAACAAAACATTTTTCTTTGACGAAAGGCTTAGCTTTTCGCTTTCAGAATTGAATATGTTTATAGGGGATGGGTGGGAATGTTTGTTCTTTTGTGCGTGTGCATGAGCGTGCTGAACCAAAGATCATACCGTGATCGATGATCCAGTGAACTGCTTCTTGACACTTTCTTCGCATATAATCAATTTTCATAAGCACAGTCAACATTTCTCTCATTCCTTATCAACAAGCAAGCATGCATGCATGCACGGACATGAACACTGACGAATTCTCTCCCAAGAAACCAAAGAAAACAGAGCACGGAGAGAGCAAGCGAGTGAGAGGAAAACAGAAGGAGGTGACTCTGAGTGAGTGACGCAATCTAATTCTAACCCTCGATTCGAATACTAACAGCCGCTTGATCACATCCACACTTCTTGATCGAAGCCGACGTCGGAGCACTGGTCGAAGAGATCGACGCCAATGTCGCCGCCGCCGCCGCTACCGGACAAGATGCTGGCCCAGTCCATGTCGATGATGGCGTCGACCTGGAAGAGGTCGAGGGGGTCCGGCCAGTCCACGTCGGCGCCGCCGGGCGTCGCGGCGGAGGCCGAGGCCGAGGCGGACGAGGAGGAGCAGGGGGACGGCGACACGGCCGACGCGGTGGAGGCAGAGCAGGTGGCGCCCTGCTTCGGCTCGGCGCTCGTCAGCGCCTCCTCCTCGGCGCTAGCGCCGGTGCCGTAGCCGGCCGATTCTTGGGACGAGGCTTTGCCGTCGCAGTGGGGGTCCTGCTGCGGGTCCTGGAGGGGGTCGGCGCGGGAGGCGGCGACGGGCTGGTGCGTGACGGGGTCGAGGCCCATCTTCTTGAGCTTCTTCCTGATGTGGGTGTTCCAGTGGTTCTTGATCTCGTTGTCCGTCCTGCCCGGCAGCCGCGCCGCGATCTTGGACCATCTGCGCCGCAGCACAAGAACAGAATTCACGACGCGAACATGCAGAAAAATGTCCGGACTCCGGATGGGAGGAATCGAGCTGGACACACACCTGTTGCCGAGCTGCGAGTGGAGGTCGATGACGAGCTTCTCCTCGTCGTCGGAGAGGAGGCCACGCTTGAGGTCGGGGCGCAGGTAGTTGGTCCACCGCAGGCGGCAGCTCTTGCCGCACCTCAGCAGCCCTGCATGCGATTGAGAGTCTGAGACCAAATGTATGCGTTTGCAGGGTGGCCGAGCCGAACCGTCGCCATGCATATACGGGTGTAAGCGTCGCTGACCTGCGAGCTTGGGGACGAGCCTCCAGCAGCAATGGCCGTGGGAGAGGAGGAAGGCGACGAGCTTCTGGTCCTCCTCCGCCGTCCACGGCCCCTTCTTCAGGCCCACCTTCTCGCAGCACGGCTGCCTGCCCATCTCTGTCGGTCGAGCCGGACGAGCACCAGTGAGCGAGCGAGCTGAGCTGGGAAGGGAGGCGGCAGGGGCAGGCGCTTGCTCGAGTCTCGAGGGAATCAGTCAGTCCCAGGAGGAAGAAGTTTGGCCTTAATGTGGGAGCGGAGGCGCGTAGCGGGGGATTAATAGGTGCGGCCGGAAGTGGAAAGGGGCCACGCGCACGTGGCGAGCAGAGCCCCAGTACGTGTGAGCCGGCCTCTGCTCGCTCTGAATCTCATCAACCGGCCTCGGCCTCACCCACACAGGTGGACCATGCATGCATATACGCATGGTGTTTCATTCTGCTAGGCGGTGCACCCGACCACGGATTAGCAGCAGGAGAAAACGGGCCACGGATTACCAGGCACGTACTACGTGGACCTTGCTTGCTAATCACCGCGGCGGTATATATCTACCTATCGGAGAATAAAGGGGGGCTGAATGAACCGTGGGAGGCTCGGAAACGTGTGGATTTTCGCACAAACTTTGTACCGTGCCCAACACGTGAACATAGGGATTTGAACCCGGGGTATACTGTTGAAAATTTAGAGAAGTGACCACCGATGTTTACGAGGCATAGCTGACACTGGTGAACTTGCTCGCCGGTCAGCAGTACAACGACGACTGTAGTTTGCACAGGAGTGCGGGCTATGTTAACGTGGAAAAACCCGAAAATTTCCTGGCCACCCCAACCGGAAAGAAGCTGTCTTGCACGCAGCGCGCCACTGTGACGCGATGTCCACGGCTCACGACACGGGTATACCAGCGAGCGTCTGATGGCCACCGGCGACAAGGGTCCGTCCGTCCTTGGCTCCTGCTCCGTGACAAACCTTGCAAGCACGCGATGCGCTCTTACTTGCTCGGCTCAGATCGGTGTCACGACGGGTAACCCCTGACCGTGACCATCGACCAAACGAGCCGTGTCCTGCACTGCAGCATCAGAGGAAAAGGGGTAGTACTACTTACAACCGACTGCCGCTAACTCCAGCCAATGAGTTGCAGCCATGAAGCGACGAACGAAATGCACAAGCGCTTGCATGGAGTTGACAGTAAATATGTTTTGACTTTAGACAGACAAATTAAATTTTTAGATGATAAACGTCGCAATCTACACCACTGCTACATATATATGGGTTACAACACAAGATCCAACGGACAATCTGCCCCTAACCGTTGAGATAAACTCCAGGTTCCGGTTTGGCAGCGAGTTAACTGGTTAAAGCCGCTTGGCGCTCAGGCCTGTACAGCGAAATCAGCCGAGCCGCAGCACTCCAGGTGTACACTATTCTACATCATCCATGTTGTGCTCTAGCTTAGGATGGGTGTTGTTGCGCTAGCTTTGGATGGGTCGCCGCGTAAATCGACGAGGTTGGATCGGTCTTGAGGTGGGACAGGAGATGCTGCACGTCAGGCCGAAGCATATCCACCACTTTCCCGCACAATGTCAGTATCTCCACTTTAGGTTTGCTGGTACTCTGAACCGGGCCGCCTTGACCTTCATACATGACGGCATGATGCCTGTTTTCGCGACGAGAACATGAAGTAGCTCATATGAGAAGTTAGACATTGAATTAACGATTGAGCACAGAATGGGAAGATACATGTAGTCCATGCCCGAGAATTTTCAGCAAGGATTAGGAGTATCTTACACAAAGTCAATGATGTCTCCAATTTCTGATGCCGGCACATGAGGTGAGGCCTGAGAGTTCTTCCCAAACACATCCCCCAACACATTGAACAGCAAAGCCAGTGTCTGCAGATCCCGAGGACACGAGAAAATTAGTACAGAACAACAAATAAACTGTACTTCGTACAACAATATATCGGACCACCGGTGAAGCCAGCAGAGAGCAGGGGCTGGTGGAGTAAAGAAAAATGGTGTTTCTGTTGGTGCGAAAATGATGAAAACTAGTGATATAGCAAGAGCGGATGTTGTGGTCTCGGACGCCTTTGGCCTGCATGAAGCTCTTCCCATGTATGAAAACATTGGGTCGTGGGGAACAATCAATAACATGCATTCATTTATTTCCTTCGGAGAGCAAGGGCACACTTACAGCTCAATTGTGTCGAAGACACAACAGAGCAAATCAGACAAGTGTAGGGCCTAGTGATATATGACTGCGAGCCTATATGAATGCACGAGAGGAACTGTTGAGAGTCATTCCGTAAGAATCCTAGAAACTCATTCCCTGTTCCAAACATATATATAGGAAAAACATTCCTATAGGATTTGCAGTCTTTAAATAGACAAAAAATACTACTCCCTCCGGTCCATATTACTTGTCACTGCTTTAGTACAACTTCAGTACAAAGTTGTACTAAAGCAACGACAAGTAATATGGATCGGAGGGAGTACATTGGAAAGAGGCTAACAATGCTTTTTTCAGTGTGAAGTTTCTGAAACAGAAGACAGAATAGAAGCCATGTTGGAACATGATCTTGCTTTGATTATTGAGATTACAGGTGTAACATATATCGTAGAAATTTGTTCAAAACAGCTGTAAATCCAAATTATACATTCTTTTAGTAACTAGGAAGTACAAAGGGAAAACCAGGCATACCTTCATGAATAGAGGTCGAGCAAAGGCTAGACGAGGCAATAAGGGGCCCAATATGCGGAAGGCAATTCTCAACATGGCAACTGAAGTCACTGGCCGGAGATGTTTGATGACAGTATGTGAAGATTCCAGCCACTCTTGAGGAAGATTGCTAAAAAATGAGTGTAGAAGGGCCACAATGTTACCTGCAATCAAGGCAGAACAAACATATAACCAGAGCACAAAATGGTATAACTGTATTAAATTAACAATGAGCTGAATGGGCCCAAATGTTTAAGCTGAAATGGGGTAAAAACACAGTAAACAAAAATGTCTTGCGGTACCTATGGCTGTCGATGTACTGTCTTGAGAAGCCCATGTTGGGTCCAGAAGTGCGTAACCAACAGCTGAGTTAAGCTCTTTCACAGGTCTCGAACTGTCAGAAAGCCAACGACAATCTTTTATGATTCGAGCTGCTTCTGAGTAAAGTTGCATGTGAAATTCTGGTGGGAGTTGTGCCAGCAAGAAGCCACATGCTTGAATCATCAAAACAGACAACTGCTGACAAGAGTAGCCACTTCTAGAAACAAAGTTCGCGCTGATTCCACTTGCTGAAGTGTTTCCTCGGCTGGCACCTGCCGACTCAGCACCCGCACCTGAAGGAGAAGTTGGCAGCCCAGAGTTTTGGCCCAAACCACCAGACATTCCTTGACCAGTATTTGACTGTATAAGCATTGCTTGTACATGAGCTATTAATTGAACTAGAGAGGACACTATTTGAGAAGCTGGCACAGGAAGTGAGAGAATCTCAATAGCTGCTGTTTCCAAGACAAGCTGTGTGTATGACCCAGGATCCTGATTTTGATAAAATGCCCTCTGAGCATCAGCGTTACTATTTCCACCAGCTTGCATAGATGCATGAGGCTTGCTGAAATTTGTGCGTCCACCAGAAGCATCTGCTGGGTTTGATTTGGACTTGCTACTCAAAGGAGGTATGACATTATTAACAAGGCCTAGCAAAAGGTTGGCAAAATATTCTGGTGGTGGGCAAATAGAAGAATTTGAAGACCCTAAATATTGAGCAAAGGATTCTGAGAAAGGAGTCTGCAAAATGATCACCATTAGTATGAACGAATAGAACTGGACAGCTAGAAGAGTTTCCAGAAAAGAAACAGGGGTTTACCTTGGTGCTAACACCCAGCACGTTGAGGATCCGGACAATTAACTTGCTTGGAAGATGACCATAGAAGTATGCAAGAATATCCCGCACAAATGTAAATCTCAGTGGGTGGAAAGCAAGAAAGGTAGAATAAAATGCGAGAACCCTGTCTGCGATATCTGTAGCATCATTCTCAATAAGCCTATAAATTATCAGTGGGATGACTGGAAGCAAGCGGGCAGCAATGTCATCGAAAAAGGGAGGATAGCTGCATTCATAAAACAACTATAGTGAATCAAGCTTCAATAACTTTTGCACAGAAACCCAAAAGGGCAAAATATACCAACAGAAATATGATTTAAAAAGTCAAATATACCCAAATCAACATAATATGCCATGGTACAAGTCTACAAGGTAATATAAACATAGAAAGTAAAGAGATATATGTATCAGCCAGGGGATTGAGGCTAGCACACCCTTCTAACTACCCCTGCGTCCCAAACTGCAAATTAATTATTGGGCTCACTTTGTAGGGATTTTCTGTAGGTGCATCAACCCCTCTGAACCGGAGCAACATATTGTTAAGGGTGGAAACTAGCACTAGATAATACAAATTATCTGATGTCCGTATTCAAGAAAAGGCTACTATGGGATGAAATATCTGCATCCGAATCAGAATCAAATCTGGATCCTGACAATATGGGGACTTAATATCCAGATATAAATGCACATGTGGCATTGGAAAAAGACGAGGATACTAATTTTGAAATCGAATGTATCAGTGTCGGAGTAAAAACTATCCAGCTCCCTGACCCGGTGCGGCTGTCCCCTTAGATCTCAGCCCATTTAGCAAGGAAAGTGCCAAAGCTCTGGCATCAGACACCTCAGTCGCATCCCTTGCCAAGCAACTTGCACGTCGCCCTCTTCACACTAGTGCCCTCCATGCAACTCTTCCGCTTTCTTCTCCACGCAGGCACGCTCCTACTCCTTTCAGCTTCCATCGCGCACGGTAATTACATGACCATACAGTAGTAATCAATCACGTCACGGTGTTGCTTTCAGGAATCAAGATGCATGCGTAAAGAGCTGGACAAAAATCTACCATGCACTTAATTATGACTCACACTTTTACAGATAAAATGCCAAACTAGTTTGCTGCCCAGCTCTAAGACTTGTTAGCTGGTACTCCCTCTGTGAAGAAATATAAGAGCATTTAGATCACTACTTTAGTGATCTAAACACTCTTATATTTCTTTACGGAGGGAATATATTGTGCCGCTGGAAGCCTT